TTAGTTTTTAAAGTTATTTCAGGGTTTAATTCATTCAAGGATTCTGCGACCTTGAATGAGCATTCGGTCAGGAATAGCACACATCCATGCGCCAGGCTTTCAAATTTTAAGGAATTAAGGCCGAGTGGAGTCTGATGTGTATTTAGAAGTTGATCTCAAGACTTCACGTTGTGTGATTCATTTTCCTCCTGAAATTTTAAATATGAAACATGTGTAGTGCTCTAATTCATACCTTGTGTAGAGGCCCATTCTCTCGCATTAATTAACACTCCAGCTTCCAGGGGCATGAATGAATGAAGCTTTGTTGCAGCAAATAGAACTTGGACTTTTGCCAAATACCTGAGCGCAAGCAGTTAAGTGCTATTAAAACTTATATCAACGGATAATTCAATGCACAGTCCGTACACCGGACTGATATTTCCACACGCTGACGATATGCATTCATGCTATCGTTTTTATCCGCACAGCACAACGTACAAATGGACATCATTTTGCTATTTGTAATTGAAATTTCTGGCTCATTTCAGAAATAACATATGTGCCACTAGTTCTCCTCCATGCAGATAGGTGCTTTTATGGATTAGATGTTAGTTCACGGAAAAAAAGGATTACTGATTCAACAATCAAATTGTTAAAATATATGTTCGACATGTTTCAAATGTACATTTTACAATAGCTGAAAGCTACTATAACCGGGGTCGGTAAAAATAGCATTTTTTTATGGTGAAATCTACATTGAAACATTTAAAAGAATAGAAAGTATATGAAGATTTAGCACTGCTGTAATAGAGGCAAGCAGTTTTCAATTTCAGCTATTGATATGACTTTTCGACGTCTGCGGGCTGATAGTTAAAAATTGATAGACAAAGAAGACAGGGTGTATGGAGCGATCCTATTGGTTGAAATGGGTGGCTCTTATAAACTAAGGGTATGAATGATGGACTAACTGTTGGGTTTCTCGAGGGTTGGGTTGCCGATAGTTTTTCTAGTACCTTTGTCGATTGCAACACCCGATTCCACCAAAAGGGTCCTTGCATATCCCGTTTGTCTTCTTTTTCCATAGCTCTGTCTATCAATTTCAAAAATCAGCCCGCTGATTGTTTATCCGCTCTCTTGGTCCGTTCATCTATTGACTATCGCATATTGCTCACTGGAAAAAAAAGTAGATTGGATCTAGAGTCCGGACTCTTAAAAACATTGACAAGAAAAAATACTCTTGATTCAACCCGACTTTTCTTTGAATCGAAGAGCCGAGCCTCTTGATTTAGGCGGATTTCCTTTTGATTCAAGCAGAAAGTCCGATTGAATCAAGAGTATTTTTTCTTGTCAATGTTTTTAAGCATCTGGCCTCTACATCCGAGCGACTTTTCTATCCAGTGTGAGGAACCATCTCAAGAACCATGGCATCACGAATGCATGGCCCCTTGCGAAAGACTCGATGACACGTGAGTGTTTTCCCCGGTGTTTGCGTCATAATGAAAAGGACGGTGACCTAAATACGGATTTACCTACTTCTGAGGAGCCGCTCGGGCGAAGCTCACAGGACGAGGAGGCCGTTAGCGGCTAGCGGGCGCCGGCAACGGTGATAGTGATGGGCGCTCTCAAATCCAACGGGTTCGAGTTCGCAAATGAGCTTGAAACTCCTTTTTCGTACGCGGATTAATTCGTCTTCCGTTTGGAACTCCGAATATCCCCCCCCCGCGGTTGTCATTCGTCCAGTGGCGCAGAGTGGATCGAGTCCTTAGGAAAGGCCCGACAACATTTCGAAACTTTAAACGCTGATAACTCCGTTTATACAAAACTATGAGGTTCTAAAAGTGGTTCTATCGTTTTTCTTGTGAAATTTTCATCTAGAGGCATCCTTTAAAATTAAAAATGCAACGATTGAACATCAAAATTTGCAGTTTTGGTAAAAAATGTCATGTCCGACCTCTCTAATGGACTCGATCCACTGTGTAGCTTGCGTGCTTTGTGGTATATCGATTGTTATGTCATTTAAATCCATGGAAAAGGATCGATAACCAGGGTGTTTGCGGCAAACACCTTAACAATCGATTCTTTACCATAGGTTTAAATGGCATAACAATCGATATATTGCAAAGAACACCACGCCACTGCGCTCGTCCATTTTACGCGCACTCCGTTAAACCAGCACCGGCGGAACCAGAGGAATCCGTGTATTTTGACACCTGAATTAAACGGCCGATAGCTCTGTCTCAGGATGTTAACATTTTTTGAATATTTTAAAATTAAGNGGGGAGGAGGGACTATGCTTCTGTCCAAAGTAAAAACGCCGTACCTCCATTCAACTGTTTCTCAATTTTATCTGACAAAATGCTGTTTTACAAAAAAAACGAAAAAATATTCATCCTTAATTTTTCCGATACAACTGTGGCACGTACACCATTAGAACTTGAGAATATGAGAAAATGAAGCCTTAGGGCAATTGCATTTGCTTGTAATGGAGTAGTGTCCTGCCTTCTCTGGGCGCCATGCGCCAAATGCGCCTAAAAATCGGGCCTTGGCGCCTAAAAATTGGAAGGGGCGGGCCATCGTGGCGCCTAAAAAATTTGACAGATTGCACTCGCAATCGGGAAGCAGCGGTAGCGATGAAGCGCTCTCTGTACGCAGCGTCCACTGCAACTCCGCATTCATGCTTTCCGCAAATTTTCATTTGCCATGACCCGTATGCAAAAATTCAATTTAGCCCCTAAAATGTAGTAGATGGCTCCTAAAAATTGTATTTCCCAACCAAGATGGCTCCTAAAATTTTAGTGGGAAGGCAGAACACTGGAGCAGAACGTGCTGGAAAAAAGTAAAACGGCAGTATGTTAGTGCCCCTTCCCCCTCCTTTGGACGTTTTGTGGATGGACTCAAAAACGGAGAAGACACTTAGACGCTTTAAAGTGAGGGATTGTGATGATGAGGAAGTCCTAAGCTCCCTAATGGGTGGACTCGATAAAGTTGTCGGATTCTGTGTATTTATTAATATTATGTTTCTTTAATCCAACGAAAACACAGGGAACTTTGCTCCACGCTTGAATAATTAGGCATGAAAATATGAGCTCAACGACTTTCAACTCCTTTCCGACAGGGTTTTGGCAAACTGCCTGGTTCTATTAGCTAAGACAAATTTCCGATTTTTCACACCTATAGCTCATGCGGTTTAAACATGCTATTTTTTCCCGGCTGCCACTATTTTTAAAATATTCCTGCTTTTGTGTAGGTATTCGTGGTGGCAGGTTGTGTATTTTTGAAAAAGTGAAGGAACATTAATATTGTGGCCCGAAGTCTGTTGTGAAGTAGGAAACGTTTTGCAATAAGGCGCCGCTATTTTCGGACTCATCAATTGGATTGCATTTTGCAAAAAGGAACCAAGTTCATTCCAATGTTGCTAGAATTGAACAACTTAAATTCTTTGCAAACGCATTTACAGAAATCATGAAAAAATTAAATTTACAAAGGTGATTTTCGTATTAAAGTCACAATTTATATAGGGAGTAAAGATAAAATTTTTTAGATGATCAATTTCTATTTGCAAGGTGAAAAAAAAAAATGCACAATCTTAGGCACATCGGAATGCTTGTGGCTCCCTTTTGCAATATTTAATCCAATGAAAACACCTATTTGTGTAGGGAAAATAATGACACATCTGCTGTATTTAAAATAAAGCGGCAGTAGTGGTTCGTTTTTTAAAAATTTTAGTTTACAAATATTGCAGGGCCTATACTATTCAGAGTCAAACTCAAAACTTAGTGAGCATAAACAAGCCACACAAAAGTAGAATGATCTTTACGTCCCGCTTCGAATCTATTTTCGGAGAAAACCATGAGCTGCACACCAAGAGAATAATGAATATTAATCGAAAAATAATTTCAAAGAACAACCCCGAGGTAAAACTTTGAAAGTCCTAGCAAGAGACGTATGCGAAAAGAGCAAGCAGAAACGAAAGAAAGTATGGTCAGGAATCCAACCAACATGTCGAAGCAAATGGCAAATTGTTGAACGGTTGGCTCTCATTGATACACAATTAACGCGCGGCAGGAAGGGGGAGGGGGGTGATTGGTGGGTTCATTCAGGGGGAACTGTTGATGCGCTTCAATAAAATCGAACTGCGAGTTGTCTGATGATTAAGCGATTCCACTAGATCGTAGAGGATCACGCCCTCCATTGAGAGGATTAAAACCTCTTGTTACACGATTAAAATGCTGCCGATTCGCGGGTTTGTCAATCGGCGCTAGCCAATTAAAGGCTTCGAAACGGTATAGATGACTCTATGGGCAAGTTGCAAGTTGCTTTCATTGGGATTACTGTGAAAATTCGTTACATCAACAGTGCATTTGATCAGTTTTATTTGATGCATTAATTGACATTGATGAAAATTACGGGCAGGTATCGCCACTCACCTGCATCATGGGTGAGTTATTCAAATTATAACGAAAAAAATAAAGCAAAAAAAGGTATAGCAAATTTGACTTTCTTGATAGGAAATTAACAAAAAAAAAATTTATACAAAATTAAAAAAAGAAAAAAAAAATCGCAGCAAATTTGACTTTCTTGATCACGAATTAAAAAAAAAACCAGAAAGTTCTGCATTTTATTTAGATGGATTGAAATTGATGAAAATTAGGGGCGGGTATGTGTGATTTACCTGCATCACAGGTGAGGGGGTTGCAGCTTATCGTTGTTCAAAATTTTAAAAAAAAAAATCGCAGTAAGTTGGACTTTTTTGATGACAATTTTACAGAAAATATGCTCCGCAATATAAATCTGAACTTTACGGAAGGGTTAAAATTGTTGAAAAATAGGGGTAGGTATTCTGAGTTACCTATATCACGAGCAAGGGGGTTGAAGTTGAGTTATTCAAAATTTAAAAGAAAATTGCAGCAAATTGGACTTTCTTGATCACAAATTAACAGATAAAATGTTCTTCAATGTGTATATTTACATTAAAGATGGATTAAAATTGTTAAAAATTAGGGGTAGGTATTGGGACTTACCTGCATCATGAGCGAGGGGGTTGGCGGCGTGGAGGAGGGACACGAGGACGAGAAGAGCGAGGCCGAGGCTCGGCCACCGGGAGCACATGTTCCACTCCAGACCGGTCATCACGAGACTGAGCCGCAGCCGCCGCCGTCGCTGGACCGAGACGCGCGGTGACACGCGCGCCCCATCCGCGCATCCCACCGCCACGCTCAGCCTCACTCCGAGCTCACACAACTTCCATCACTCCGGTAGATCACATCCACCAACCTGCATCAGCATCCCAGAATCCCTCCGATAGAGAATAAGCTCTCCAGATAAAGAGTCTCAGAAGCACGACTTGGTTTTCGAGCGCCTTCAAATCCTAGGGATACACTCCGCTTTGCCTGGGAGTTATTACACGCAGAAAAAAACTTCGTGCGTGGGACCCAAAGTTGAGGTCATATGGATCACTGAAGTTTTCGGATCACGTATCTGAAAACTTGAGGTCCAGCTGCCGAAGTTTGGGTCAGACATCTGAGGTATACTTCGATATATACCGAAGGGTTCTGGTCACACATCTGAAGTACTCCGGTATACATACCGAAGTACCTCGATGTTTAACCCGAACTTCGGCAGCTCGATTTCCAGTTTTTGGATGCGTGATCAAAAACTTCAGAGATCCATATGACCTTAACTTCGGGTCCTATGCACGAAGTTTTTTTCTCCGTGTATAGTTGCCTGTTGGCTCTAAGCCCAACAAGATCGATGATTTAAATTTTACTTCATACACGCACTCGGGAGTGTGCTGGCTGGTACCATGCATTCGAGAAAAAAACCGTCTGTTTGAATTTCAACCATGACAATCCGTACCTTCTATCTTCTTTCTTTATGTCTTGATTTTTACATTTTAATAAATTCAAATGGACCTCGTTTAGCAGAGAGGAACCAAACCACATCAGCTTTTGCCAAATTGAACTGGGCAATTTAATTTTTTACGGAAAAATGGTTGTGCCAATTTTTGCGCAAATTCAGTGAGTTTTTTGCATATTATGAAGCAAATTCCTCAAAATTTTCGAATGAATCCGCACAAATGTTCTTCTTGTAAAAGATTAAAGTGCCCTATTAAATTTGGCAAAAGCCGATGTAGCTTGGTTTCTTTCTGCTTAATGCGGTCCAGTCATTGACTAAAAGGAATATAATTGACTAACTAAAGGGTCTCTCATGGGTTGTCATTTTCCCCGGATTACCTCTTGGAGCACTGAATTTTGAATTTTTTTGACCAATGATATTTTCACACCTATGGAAATTTATGAAATATTCTATCCTAAAGAGTTGAAAACTCCCAATAAATAGTGGAGCCGATGCGATTGGTATATCCGATCGATCTGGTGTACAGAACCTTGCATCTATGCCCGATTGCCATTTCCACTAGTTGACCATTTGGAGCACGGAATTGCGAGTTTTTTGAACTACGATTTTTTGACACCTATGGAAATTTTTGAAATTTCGATCCGAGAAAGTTAAATATGAGCTATAAGCAACGAAATCGATGCAACTGGCCGTAAGTTGGTCTATTATTTATCTCCTATGCCCATTCTGACCACTGCTTTCAGCGATATAATCGCTCCTTTTTTCTTTATCATAATATTTGGTCTATAGTTATGGTTATCAACTTTTATGACGAGCCCGCATGATCCCAGAATCACTTCAGCGGGCTGAATTTTTAAACTGATAGGCAAAGCTGTAAACCAACATTATAAAGGGAAATGGGAGGCATTTTATTCTGCCGTGCTAAGGAAAAAAACCCGTATGAGCATTTCTGGAGACAGTCATTTCCAACGCTGCTACAAGCACGGAAACAGGGGACGGTGGGAAATAGGCTGTTTGTTTACTTTTTAAAAATGGTAACAACGTTGTTTCCTCTTCTTTTGTTTTCATTTTTCTACTTTGGCCCTTCCGCTGTTGCCATTGGCAGCATCCTATCCGATTTTTTTTAATTTTAGCCCCTTGCGTGCCCGTCGTTTCGAGGACGAAGGAACACGACTCTATTCCGAAATTGCGAACAATTCAAACAATTCAATTTTTTGCCAAAATGTTACCCTTCAATACTGGTCTAAAATATAGCTTCTGTTTGCGTATCTATATAATTAAAACTCCAAGGCTTTTTTTGTCCTCCATCGATCTCAGAAATTACTTGACCGATTTACTTCAGGTTTGTTTTAAAAGGAGGTTCTTGGCCTGAAGATGCGCGAACGGCTCAGACAAGCGTAGCGAGCTGAAGCATAGCTAAAAATCTTTGATACACTTAAGTTTAGTTGCTAGCTGTGTGCCTTTCATTAAAGACAAGACAGGAGTATGCTCTGAAAGCAGTTCTCACTTTATAATACGTTTAGACAATTTTAATTGAATTTTCAACCAGTGCGTCTACGATTTCAAAAGGAAAACTTTTCATAAATGTTTCAGGAAATGAATTAATAACTAATGGAAAAGCAACATTCGAACGTTTGTCCGAAACTCGGTAGAAAAACTTCTCGGTTTGGCGCAATGCGAGAAGTATTCATGAAGTCTTGTAGGCGCTAATATGGGCCTTGCTCCGACCGCACTGTTTGGCGCAATGCGTGAAGTATTCCTGAAGTCTTGCAGGCGCTAACGTACTTTTTAAGCCGGCCGCATTGTGTAGGGCGCGATTATTCGAACTCGCGTTAGAATAATTGCAGCATCAAATAATAGAGCTTAAAAGGCCTATGCTGTATTTCAACGCCGTATGAGCATTCCAACGTTGCCTCATTTCTCCCGATTAAATATTTTTTCTCGAGAAAAATTAAGAATATTCTTTATACCCACAACCATTATTTAATCTTTTCACTTCATTTTTCATCAGAGGGTAAGACGCTGATAACTTGTCAACAAACTAACCAACGTTAATATAAAAATGCGTTTATTTTCCAACTGTTTCCTATTTTGCCAAATTTCTACCTTAAATTAACCTCATTTCACATTCGTCTATTCTTGTATCAGACGATGAAGTTTATATTCGCGCAATCCTTGTGCCTTTTTCGCGAAATCCTCATATATTTTCCTAGACTTTTCGCGGAATCCTAGATTACCCAAGTACTTTGCGATGTATCTGTCGAAGGCAACTAGTCAAATCAGGCATTTCATCAAACGCCTAGGCAAATAGGCAAATTTTGACAGTTTACGGAATTCTGCAAATTTATGGCGAGGAGTTCATGAGTTTTCAGTATTTTGGGAAAAATAACTCTTCAAATCCGCAAACGCTCCTTGTTCCTTCCTCCTAATATGCCTTTAGTACATTTAAATGTTAAAATTTTAAAAATGCTACACTGAAAAAAATAAATAATATGCTGTTTTAGCACCTAGGATGTCAAACATGTGTCTGTTGATTCCAAGATGCTGTCATTGCTGCCCTCGCAGTTAACTTTACATCCTGTGAATGCTAATTCAACTGCGTGGGCAATCAAGGCAGCATCATAGGATCACCAGACACATTTTTGACATCCTAGGTGCTAAAACAGCATACCATTTTTTTTCAGTGTATGTTTTAGGACGTGCTGAAAATGTCATGATAAATGCGCATTCAAGACCTTAAAATCGTTTAAAATACTATTGTATGCTGAATATTTTCACAAAGAATTCTTTCTTACGGGAGTAACGAGATATTTTGTCTAAAATTAGGGTAAAAAATCAAAATTTCAATCTAAGTAAGAATATTCGACTATTTGCCGAGGCATTTGACAAAATGCCTGATTTGAATATTTGGCGCCTCTGTTGCCACCTATTGAAACCAGTGACGTGACGTGCTTTGCGACATATCGATTGATCTGTCATTTAAACCTATAGAAAAGGATCGATAAACACGGCGTTTGCGACAAACACCTAAATAATCGATTCTTTACAATAGCTTCAAATTGGGAAATATCGATTGTCGATCATTCACGCCTCGTTACTATCGCAAAAAAGAGCGCCACGATCTCGAAATATTTCGCATCTCATTAAACAAGAACAACTGGAAGAGGAAGATTCGAAGGTTGGCGAAGTGAAGGAAGAAGAATCGAGTCGTGACGGAAAATATGATGACTGAAAATTGACAAATTACGATCGGAAGTTACTCGGGTGCAGAAGTCAGGAAGACGGGATCAGCTGATTATGACGAGTGCTCGGAGAAAGTGTTGGCGCAGCCGACTGTGATTTTTTTATTCCAAAAAAAGAAATCTGTTAGCATCAGACTCTGCTTGATTGAATTTCGGATGACTGTTTATTCGGATATTCGCGGATTTGAAATGAGGTAATCGGTGATTTGGACCAAGTTTAAGGAAAATGAGCAAACTAACACCAAGATTGAAGCGAGAGAAAGAGGTTTGAAGTTGTATTCTAACATTGTGCTCCAATGCTGCTGATAAAGCTCAGTGCTGAGTTTCATTTTCAAAACTTATTTCTTCGAATTGACTTTAAATTTCCGACGGAGGAAAATATCCGATTAGATAATTTCATCACTACTCCTTAATCACTTTCCTAAATTCGTCCTTCCCCTCACGAAAAATCTTCAAAATAATCTTCGAATCTTTCAAAAATAAAATGTACCTCAAAGCGCGTTGATGACGGCGCAGAGATGCAAGTATTCGTGCTTGATGGATGCCCGTGTTGTATCTAGAATATTGAAGGCGCGATAGAGCGAGGCGTGAACTTTCAATACTGCACTTTATGTCAAACGAGGGGTTGCTCGGTTTTGGAAAAAAATGTAAAAAAACTAGGCCCGATTACGTCTCTTCTATCTTCAGCTGGGTTACTCACCTCGCCCTTGAAGCACCACTTAAAATGAGACAAACGGAACCAACACAAAATGAAAACAGAGCCAGGGAAGTTGCGCGTTGATGGCGGCGCAGAGATACAACTATTCGTACTTGATGGATGTCCGTGTTGTATCTGTAGAATTGAAGGCGCGCTGGCGCGAGGCGTGAACTCGCAATGCACTGCTTCCTGCCGCAAATGAGAGGTTGCTTAGATTCGGGAGAAGTTAAATAAATAAGCAGCGAACTCCAACACAATGTGTTGATAAGGCGCATCATTGACTCGGTAACAACTGGATTTGTTTTCATTTACAGAGATTTCATGGTAAGTAAGGAGCACATGGATGAAATGCACGATTCACAACGG